ATGTGTCAAATGAACATTGTTAAACTCTATAATTAACCAGATTCACCTATGTGGTAGGGCAGAAAATTTTAAAACTATTCTTTTCATTAGTGCCTATTAATTGTACAAAATACTGGGATTCAACATTCTGTTTACCAACATGCATATAATACACAAGTATTTTGATCATATTCACCCTATTACCCATCCTTGAACCTAAACCCCTAGGTCATGCTTTTAATTAGCAAGTTTTTCATATTCTCTTTCTGCCCAGACTTGATTGTTTCCTTTCGGTGGGTTGACCTCAGGTTGCTCAATCATCCTATTTCCCCCAGAGTGTTACTTCTCTGGAAATCGTGTTGTAGATGTTATTGTTCTTCTGGCATCTCTGGAGGTGCAGTATCTACCCTCTGAATTAGGACTGAGGTCCCAGTGAGTTCAATTAGGAAATGAGTCACCCTTGGACATGTAACAAGTGATACACTCAGCCATATTTTCCGGGGTTCCAATACACATAAAGTGTTCACAGACATTTTTCCTTCCCTTGGGGAGTGCTTGGCTGTACAAACATTCACATGACTGTTTTCTTAGAGATCAAAAGGACAGATTCAAAACATGATAAGATAGGGATTACAGGTTTTTCTCAATTCATGCCATCACAAAGCTAAATGCTGTGTTTGAAGCCAGGACAGTATATCTGACCAGGAATCAATTTTAAATGTTATTTCATTATTTCACTTTTACTTTATAAAATACAAATTGCAAATATGTGTCTCAGTAATGCATGATTTCTTTTTCTGATGAATTTATCTATTTAACATTAAAATGCTACTTAGTATTGGTGTTTAGGAGAAATTTGCCAAAAATGAACTTTGGATATTTCTTTTTTATAATGAAGAATCAGATTCCTTGAGTTTATATGAAGTTCATGGAATTAAATTTAGAAACCACAACAATTTAAAAAGTAACATCTTTTCTATTAATTGGATAAATCATCCTTCCTACATATATGGCGGGATTGGTCAGCAGCAACATTTCCAGGTGCAGCGATGGTGCATGTGCTATTTTTCTCTCCGTTATTCCCAGAGATGGCACCATTGTGAGAAGTTGTTGTCGTTTAGGACCAGGAGAAATCACCAAAATCCAGCACCTGTACTGAAAGACTGCTTGTATGCAAGCAACTCAGGAGGGACACTCACGTGTCAGATTCTGAAGTAGGCTTTACATTATGCAAGTACAGTACATTGATCCCTATGGAACTCATAAACTTTTTAAACTTCTGTACGTTTCTGATACTCAGTTACACTGTGATGTCCTTTACATTGCTGAAACATGGATAAATTGATTCCAACCTCTAACTCTTCTTCGATCTTTTAGTATTACAACAACATAGAATGAATTCATTTTCTCTAATATCAGCATTCCTATAAACTAATTTTGAGTGTAACTATTTGGGAGCTTTTTGGTGTGCAAGGATATTTTGATAAGATAGGTGGAATTATCCTCTAAACATTGTTTAGAATATTAAAAATTAAAAGATGATTTCACATCTGAAGCAGTTAAATGAGTGACTTTTGAGTACCGGGTATAATAGTTTAGTAAGTGAACATTTATATAAACTCCTAGGCCTGGTGGGTCAAGGAAGCAGAGGATACAAGTTCACCTTTGGGCTTTGGAGATGTTTGTTTAAGAAGAGCCAAGAATTGGGGTAGGATCTTCTTTGAAAGAGATGTGGATGAAAGGCTAGACTTCACCAGACAGGCAGATAGGCTGCATAAATGTGACCACAAAATGTTCACTAAGCAGGAAATTGATGATGTAGGAAGTGGTGGGGAAAATTGGAAAAGCAGCATCTTTACGAGGGTGAAATCAACTGCATGAGCAGAGACATGGGAGATAATTAAGAAAAAGATAATGCGTATTTATGGAGAGCAAGGGAGCAAAATTTAGGAAGTGAGATTGAAATATTCGTGAACCAAGACTTAAAGAATTATGGTATCTCTATGTTTATTTTCCTGGAAACTGGGCCAGTGAAGATGGGTCTTATGAAGGTATCATTTTGTTTGCTTCTCTCCCCTCCTCTCTCCTCTCTGTACTCTCCTTCCTCCCTGTCACTCCCCTGCCCAGCTTGGACCCTCTCCTTCTGTTCTTTTAACACTTGAACAGCACCATTGCTTCTTTCTGCATCAAAACCACAAATGTGGACCATGCTTTAATCCAACATGTGCTCTTCCACCCTCCCATTGCTCATAACCACAGACAAACATTCATAACTGTACATGTATGTTTTTTAAAATTTGTTTTATAATATTATCATGTTATATATAGTTTTAGGCTTATTTCTTTCTTACTCCACTGTAATTTGTGGAAATTTCTCCTGGAGTACTTAGGTAACTAATTATTTAAATGGCTGTTTTGGATTTAATAGGCTTTATATTCTATTCAGCCATATCTTTTTTAGCATTTGTCTTAATATTTTTTTACCTTTCTGTTTAATGCCCTTAAAATACTGCCACAAAACCATAGTACACACATGTTCTTATGTAATAGAGCTTTAATTTTTCTGAAATTCATTCCAAAGTGTGTAATTGCTGTGATGAAAGGTATATGTATTTTTACTTTCCATAGAGATTGAGATATTGTACTCCAAAATTATGAAATTCAAGTAACAAGAAAATATTCTTTTCATTTTAACTACCTTTAAAACTATCACTTTTAAAATCTGATGTATATAAAAATTTTTTTCTGTTTGTTGATGAATTTAGCATTTTATCATATGCTTTGATCATTGACTGTACTTTTTAAATTGCTTGTTTATATTTTTTCCACTTGCTATTGCCTTGTGTTTTTAAATTAATTTCTTAAAGTTTGTTTGTCTATTTCAGATGCTATCTCTGCCTATGTTGTCTAAAATGTAAATCCTTTGTCTAAATTACTTTTATCTAGTTATTTATTGCACTAATTCCTACATTGCTAAATTATTTTGAAATTTTGAAATTTGTTATTTTGAGGTTCCTCTTATTAGTTGGGAAGATTCTTCTATACCCATAATGTATAAAATCATCTCTATTTCATTACCTTATGGTGTATACAAAGTACATTTTCCTGTCATTTTACATTAAATCTTTAATATATTTTTATTTTTGATTTTGGAATTAACTCTATGCACAATATTATTAGCTACGAGATGAACAGCTAGTTTTGGCAGATTCATTCTTCTTTTATGGGCAGTTGTTATCCTGAGTGTCTCTAATTATTTATTTCTGATTTCCGTTGCCATTAGCCTGAAAGATCACTGAAGTTATGGACATGCTTCAAATTAGCAGCATTATCTCTTTCAGTGCTGCAGCATAGTAAGCCATAGTGCCCATTTATAAGATGAACAGGAAGTTATACTAAAATTTCATGGACTCACTAGTAACAAGTTTCTTTTGCAGATAATTTTGTTCTGAGCAATGATAAAAGGACAGACACACAGAAGGTCAAATGGAACAAAGGAACAACGTGACTGAGTTTGTGCTCTTGGGGCTCACTCAGAGCCTCCAGGGCCAGAAAATATTATTTGGCGTGTTCTTGCTGATTTATGTGGTGACAATGGCAGGCAACCTACTCATTGTCATGACTGTGATGCTCAGCCCAGCCTTGGATGCCCCAATGTACTTCTTTCTTGGCCACTTATCATTTATGGATGCCGTTTATTCTAACACAGTTACCCCACACATGATGATAGACTTACTCCATGAGAAGAAAACCATTTCCTTTGAAGGTTGTATGACTCAGCTTTTTTTAGAACATTTCTTTGGTGGTGCTGAGATTTTGCTTGTGGTTGTCATGGCCTATGACCGATATGTAGCCATCTGCAAACCCCTGCATTATCTGACCATCATGAGCAAAGGAGTGTGTGTTCTGTTATTGCTACTGGCCTGGGTTGGGGGTTTTGTGCATGCTATACTGCATATCCTTTCTGTTTACAACCTTCCCTTCTGTGGCCCCATTGTCATCAACCACTTCATCTGTGACATGTACCCCTTATTAAAACTCGCCTGCATGGACACCTACATTATTGGCCTCACAGTGGTGGCCAATGATGGGGTGATCTGTACGATTATCTTTTCACTCTTGCTCATCTCCTATGGGGTCATTCTGTACTCCCTGAAGAACCTGAGTCAGGAAGGGAGGCACAAGGCCTTGTCTACCTGTGGCTCCCACATCACCGTGGTGGTCCTTTTCTTTGTTCCTTGTATTTTTCTGTATGTGAGAACTCCCTGTACCTTGCCCATTGATAAATGCTTGGCTGTATTTTACACTGTCATTACACCTCTTTTGAACCCCCTCATCTATACTTTGAGAAATGCAGAGATGAAAAATGCCATGAAGAAATTTTGGAAAGGAAAAGGAAGATGAACATACAGAGAATTGTATCATTTGTGTTCCATGAAAACAATTGCTTCTTCCAAAGTAGCCATATCTGATTATTTCATTAAATTAAATTTTCCCTCAAGTTTAATAATTGTGAATAATGGAAAATATATAACCAATATATACTTTAAAACTATAAGAATATTTAAAAAATTTTTATTAGTACAAAATGGGTCTGTCAAGATTTAGGTATTTCTGCTACACTTAATATTTATTTTCTTAATGAAAAATTTCTTCATGATTAATACACAAGTAATTCCATCATTTTTAAGAATTAATAATATTCATGATAAATTGGAAATAATAAAATAAGAAATAATATGTAAATATCTGGTTTCTTCTATCACATATTCAAAAATAGATCATATTCATATGTGAACTATATATTGTTTTGTAAGATACTTTTCATAATTTTATTCACATTGCTTAGCTCGTTTTGCTTGAAGAGGAATAATACTTTATTTTTAATATAATCATAAGGTGCTAAATGCCCAAGAAAAAGCAAATGAATAAATGAGACATGCAGGAATGCAACTAAATGTGACTCTTCTTTCCATTTGGAAATCCTTTGAGTGTCTCAGGTGTAGAAGCTTCATTTGGTGTCATGTTTTCATAAAAATAAAGATGATCTTTTAATCCTACTATACAGTGTAGAATAGGTGATAATAACTCTGCCATTTCTCATTATGTCCTTCATTATGTTCTTGTTTGTGTTTTTCTAAAATGGACCAGACTTTGCCTTTCATATACCAAGCTAGCATAATCCTTAATCCTTACACTGCAAATATACAATACAGAACTTGACAGTAGACAGCTGTCCAGCAAGATTTTGGCAATACATGCTGTTTTGATACTTATCTATTTTTGAATTACATATATTTATAACTACTTATTATTTTAATTGCACATACTACAGTATGATCATTCTATACTATTATACAATGTGTACTGATCAAATTAGTGTGGGTAACATTCTGGTCTTTTGAGACCTTATAAAATTTGATTAACAGGGAAAATACACATAATTATGGGATACAGCATGATAATGTCATATGACTATAAAGAGTAGACTGATCAAATCAGAGGAATTAATTATTCCAACTCCTTGTTGTCATTTTATGTTTGGAGACTTTGAGCTTCTCTATTAGTAGAATGAAGACTATTAGGTATCAAAGAGGCCAAAATGCATGGCTTTATTAGACTGCAACCTCATTCATAAAATCTTTGAGACAAATTCTCTGTTTCAGAGACATGGCTGGGGGTATCACAATCCCCAACTTGAAACTATATGGAAAAGCTACTGTGATAAATAAAACAGCATGGTACTGGCAAAAGAACAGACCTGAGGATCAGTGGAATAGATTAGAAGATGCAGAAGCAACTCCAGACATACTCAGCCACCTCATCTTTGACAAAGGAGCCAACCACCCTCACTGGAGGAAAGATAGCCTATTTAATAAATGGTGTTGG